TGTTGATCAAAAGGTTGATTGGTTTTATGCTTGTTGTTTCTCAGGCTGGACACCCATTCCAGCAGCGCTGTGTTCACTCAGCATACTCTCATGCCCGTCTGAAGCAGGAGTGCCCGACGTTCCTGCTGCTGCTTGACTGTGTGTGGCAAGTGTGGCGCCAGTTTCCTCTCGCAATGGAGTTTAGTGAGGCTCTGCTGCTCCGTCTGGCACAAGACGTTTACGCTTCAGACTATGGAACCTTCTTGTGTAACAGTGAGCAGGAGAGGTGGGCAAACATGATCCCTGAAAGACAATCACATTAATGTTTACAATTTTGTAGCATTATTTTAATACTCTTGATAATATTTAAAGTCTTCTATGCTCATCTAGTATGAAATATTATTATTAATATGAATGAAATATTATTGCCACACTGCAAAAATGCTTTTCTTACTTAGAGTTTTTGTCTGGTTTCTTGTCCTTGTAACGATTCTTAAATCAAAAAGCATTTTCCACACAAGTAAAAAGTATTTTCTTGTTTTCACAAATAATATATCAAAATATTTTTTTTTCCTTAAAAAGCTAAGTAATCTACAAATGGAGGAAGCTAAATTATATTTATTTTACTTTGAAATAATATTATTTAGCTTACCCCATTGGCAGATCATTTTGCTTGTCTTAAGTTAAACCAAGACAATATTTATTTACTTGTCAAGAAGAAAATGCTTTTTGATTTAACATCCTGTAGATGTTGGACTAGAAACTCTTATTTTTGCAGTGCATTTAATTATATGCCAATTTAATATGTTTTAAAAAGTCATTTATTTTTGTGAAAGCTAAATTTTCAGCATCAGTACTCCAGTTTTTAGTGTCACATGATCCTTCAAAAACAATTGTCCTAAGCTGATTTGATGCTTAAAATACACTTCACACCATTCTTAGTGTTGCTTAATATTTATGTATGAAAATGTGGAGATTTTCCAAAAGATCAACATTATATGACATAGAAAACATTTGTAAAAAATTTACTTTTAATATGAATTTTAACAACAACAAAAAATAAAAATGATTAGTTTAATGTACTCTTGCATTCTAGTTGATACCACACTGTGTGAAATTCTTGAGTCACTGTTAGATTTGTTGTTTAGCTGTGGTTTAATTACTATAGTGTAAATATCTAGGGATGTTCCGATCAGGTTTTTTACCCTCGAGTCCAAGTCCGTGTCATTTGATTTTGAGTATCTACCGATACCGAAACCTAATTCTATACTTCTATAATACATAAAAAAAGAATAAAGAAGAGTGGAGAAACAGATACAGGATGTTCCTTTTTTTAATTCATCTTATTTTAACTTTCAACAACTTTGTTAACAAACAGAGCACTCCATCAGAGATGTACATCTTAAACATCAATTCTTCTCTTTTGGACTTTAGTGCAACAGTAAATATAAAAACAAATCTATAAAAACAAATAGCACCTCAACTTAAAATACCCGTCAGGCAATCCTTTAATAAAAAAATTAAAAAGTTTACATTTCTCAGTTTGCTATGGCAATGTTGTCATCAATTTTATCATACCTCCAGACTACAGATATACTCGCGCTTTCTACTTCAAGCTGCTTCCGTGTTTTACTTTGCCAGCAATTAACCATCTGCATCTCTGCAACAAAGTGATGTCATACCACATGTGTTGCTGTTTCTGTGTGAAGTCAAGTAAAAGGTCTAACTCTGTGCCACCGCATAACTATAGATATGTTATGAAAAAATAAAAACATATATAATATACATATATATATACTCGAGTCCTGATCGGGAGGTAATGTCCGATTTCGATCGAGTCTGAAATTGCGTGATCTGGACATCCCTATAAATATCTCTCATCTCCACCTAAACAATGGAATCAAATTTGGTCAGTTTGTTCTGAACATTTTGTGTGTGTGTGTGTGTGTGCATCTGTGTGTGTGAGAACAGGTTTATGTGTTTTACAGGGACACACATTTGTGTAATGACATTGGTATGACTTAGTTGTACTCAATTAAAAGTGGTTTACAGGGTCACACCTCGTGTCTCTTTAATTCAAAATGCTTAAAAATCATACTTAACAAGGTCTTTTGAAATTCAAAATTTGCCACTGGTTTCTGTGAGGGTTGATTTCTATGAGGGTTGGTTATAGGAGTGGGGTAGGGCCAAATAATAAAGGGGTTTTTACATTGTAAAATACATTAACCCTCAAGAGTGTCCCTATAAACCATGTATACAACTGTTTGTGCGTGTGTGTGTGTGAGCACGTGTGCATGCATGCGTGCGTTCCTGCGTGTGTGTGTGTGTGTGTCCAAATTTCAAATACTTCCCATTTTCCTCAATGAAGAGACCAAAACATTTATATTGTATATGGTCATTAAAACTTGGAAACAGCAGAGTTGGTGCAGGATTTTTGTAAATTGTTTTATATTTACATAATATTTATATGACATCATGTTGTTTATTTATTTTCGTCATTTAATCATTTATTTTTACCTGGTCTAGATATGCAGCAGGAGTGAAGGAGAAGACACACTGTTTGTTTCAGGCCTTATTGAAGCCTGATATTGATGAGCAGTACCTCAATCCACTGTACGAACCCACAGATCTGGCCATTTGGCCTTCAGTTCATCCTCAGTCCTTACAGCTGTGGACAGGTCAGTAAGTACACACAGAAATGCACATTTCTGAAAGTCACAGCTTGTCTCAAAACTGCATTCAATTTTTATTTTATTTTATTGATATATAGAGTCAAAAAAAACACACACACAGGCTACTGATCTGTCCAACAGCATCCTGATGATCTTCGTATGGGTTTGTGTGCAGGGCTGTTTCTCAGGTGGACAGAATATGCTCAGAACATGGAAGAAGCCCGAGAAGAGGTGTGGAGTATTGTGAAAGAGCACAAAGAGAGAGCTGGATCTGACAGGACCAAAAATAATAACCCAAGTACACACTGTGACACCTTGACCCCATTTGAAAACCTCATGGATGAGCTTACTATTTTGTGACCTCATGGTAGAATGGACACTGTGGAGCCTGCTGGAAGTATACATGTCTTGGCAAGAACTTCAATTAAATTAGCATCACCGCCTATCAGATTGGCTTGCATTTACAGGGCTTTCAGATGTAACGTAATTTATGAGAGCAATCTGATGTACTATTGTTGCATAGTAATCAGACATACTGCCATTTGAACGTCAGTGTTTGTTTTTTGGTAAATAGTTTTCAGTTGACTGCTACAGCAGTCAGCTAAATGTTGAATCAGTGGGAATGTGAGAAATTCAAGAAACCTTAAGTAGGTTTGATAAAGTTGCAGACAGTATTTTCAACATTGGTGCATGGTTTAATATCTGGAATACTTCATTCTAATTGGTTAATTGCTACATAAAGCATCCAAATATGTTCAAGGATGACTTTTTGATGAAAGATCTATATTTATAACTTTCCACGGGGAGGATTTAAACTCAAATAAACATTTCATTCATATGTATTTATTCATACGTTATAGGCAGGATCATGCATTATCATATTCACAGGATAGCCTACTGTTCTCATCTTAATGCTTAAGAGAAGGGTCAGAAATGAACCAGTGCATGAGGAAATGATATAATAACATGTGCACAGATATGTACACTCAAAATGTTCATAAAGAAGAATTTATTTATTTAAACTGCTACAATTTATGCAAGAGAAAACATTAGAATCTAATGGGGACTAGTCATTTATTATTCATTCGTTTATTTTCTTTTGGCTTAATCCCTTTATTTATCAGAGGTCGCCACAGTGGAATGAACCACCCACTTATCCAGCATATGTTTTACACAGCGGATGCCCTTCCAGCTGCAACCCAGTACTGAGAAACACCCATATACTCTCGCATTCATACACACTCATACACTACAGCCAATTTAGCTTATTTATTCACCGCTACCACATGTCTTTGGATTGTGAGGGAAACCGGAGCACTCGGAAGAAATCCACACGAACATGGGGAGAGCATGCTAACTCCACACATGTAATTTTTTATTATAATTATTTCATGTTTAATATTATTAAAATCTGTCCTGATTAGTTTATGTCAGCATTATGACATTTTGATATATTTATATTGCTTAGATTATGTTTTTTTTTACTTATATCTCATTTAATTTTAAGGAATTTTACAACAATATTTTTTTATATATTATGTTAGATTAGATTAGATTAGATTAGATTAGATTAGATTAGATTATTATATATGATGGTGCAGTGGGTAGTGTTGTCACCTCATGGCAAAAATGTTGCTGGTTCGAGCCTTGGCTGTGTCATTTCTATGTGGAGTTTGCATGTTCTCCCTGTGTACATGCTGGTTTCCTCTGGGTGATCTGGTTTCCCTCACAGTCCAAAGACATGCACTATAGGTTTATTGCATAAGCTAAATTGGCCGTAGTTTATGAGAGTGTATGGGTGTTTCCCAGTGATGAGTTGCAGCTGGTAGGTCATCCGCTGCGTAAAACATATGCTTGATAATTTGGCGGTTCATTCCGCTGTGGCGATTCCTGATAAATAAAAGGACTAAGCCGAAAAAAAAATGAATGAATGAATTATGAGATATTATTTAATATGAATTAGCATCATGAAAGTGTGTCCTGCCAGAGCGTTTTTATGGCATTTACTTTTTGTATTATTATTATTTTTTTCAATTATTAATTTTATTTAAATAAAATTTATAATTACCACAGACATTATATTAAATTATTTGAATTTGTTTGAATATCAAACCAGGTTAACGGTACTAAAAAAAGGCATTCTACATGGCGCACACACAAACAATAACATCTCACTGGCCAATGAAGTCCTCTGAGTAAAGCCCCAGCTCAGCTAAACTCACCTACACAATATAAATCCGGAGTGGGCAGCCCGTCAGCAAGTTTGCCCTCTTCTAGTGCTAATGGACAGCGCAGGCGTCATCACGCGACCGTGTGCGCTAGCGTAACCACAAAACTACAACTCCCAGCATTCTCTGCTCCGGCCACTTGTTTATCCAATGGACATTCGATGCGCTCCTCCGGCAACCAATCGGGCAGTAATCTCTTAATTCTAACAGTTAAATACCATGAAAATCCCTTTTATCAGCACTACTTACTTACTTAATTTTCCGCCACCGGAGACGCCACAGCAATGTTGGGATTTTGATGCAGGACACGTGTTTCACATCGTCGCGGATTTCAAGTTTTGAAGTTCAAGGTGAGATTGTGCGCTTTTTTTCAACTAACGTTACTTGACTTATGTACTGATCTCCAAGCTTTATGATGTAACAACTGCTCTTCATTTTACAAATGCTAAAAAAGAAAAATGTATTGCGTGTTGTTGCTAAATAGATTTGATGACTGATGTGTTTATGCACTGACAGAGAGACGTCATGCTGTCAGGTGTCCGGTTGTGTGTCCGCTCGTTGTGTAACGGCCGGATGGCTCGCGGAATGAGTCTGTCTCCGCGTCAGGTCAATCGATGGCCGAGCAGCGAGTCCTCCGAGCCTCCGACGGACAGTCCTCGAGTCCTCATCACAGGTGCCCATGTGTCCAGCGTGTGTCAGACCTTGGTGTTTTGGTGTAAAACAGCCGTCGGGTTTCATCACGTCTTCTGTGTTTGTTTGCCGTGTCCCGTAAGAGACGCTTCTATTGATCGCCGTGACAATGGGCTGGGAATAAACAATGTAAAAAGCGCTCCGCGCGCGCACAATGGAACGCGCGCGGCTGTTTTATGCTTGTGTAATAGCGTGTAAAGAGTGAGTAAATGGAAGTAGAGCTGAAAAATGTCTGCACAATAACAATCACACAGAGCCTATTTAAATTATCCAGGCCTGTTTATGAAACTTGCATTTTTTGCTTTGTTTGCATATCTATTTGCAGATAAAGAAATGGTGTTTTAGTCATGGTGAATGATTTCAAAATATTTAAAATATAATCATACCTATGACATGTCTTGGGTAGGCTATTAGTCTAAAGCAATAGCTGTAAAATTAGATCTTGTTTTAGTTGTTTATTTCACTTGATTTGAGGTATCATTTTCCTATGGTGACCATTTATTTCTTTTACTTTTATTTATTTATTTTACATTTACCTTTATTTATCTCCATCAAATGTTTTTTTTTTTCAATATAATGAGGAAATAAAACACTTTTTACAGTTTGATTTAGTGTATTCAGATTGATGCTACAATAGATGAAGCATGGTTGATGATGGCATTCTTGATTGTTATATAATTGTTGTTTTTCATTGTTTTTCAATTGTTGTTTTTCACTGAAAGTGTTTTTCTTTTGTAAAAAAGGTGGCCTGGGACAGCTTGGAGTTGGATTAGCACAAATGCTGAGGTTAGGCAATATCTGAAAGATCTGCTGTGTGAGAGAAATTTGACATCAGTCTCCAGAACACAGTTTTAAAGGCATAGTTCACCCAAAAATCAAAATTGTTGCATCATTTAATCTCCCTCTTGTTTTAAACCTTTATTAGTTTCTTTCCTCTGTAAAGAAGATATTTTGAAGAATGCTGGTTTCATGGGACAAAAAAAATATGACGGAAGTCAATTAGTTTTACTCAGGGGCGGATTTAGTAATTCGAGGTCCATTAGCAACTCCAGCCTTGGGGGGGCCCAAATCCTGAAATGCACCCTTTCTTCTTTTTTTAATGTTAATGTATAATATTTTGCTGTTTTTTATATCACTTAATCTTCTTGATTAAATTATTCATTTTCTTAAAGTGAATTTACAACTAAAAATAATATATATTTTTAAGTAAATGTGACTGCCAGACTGCTCCATGATTGAAAGTGGTGGACATTTTATTTTATAATTTTATTATTACATATCATTACATTATTATTATTATAATATTATATTTCAGTTTGTATTAAATAATATTTAATTATGTAAAAATGTATTTGACTCTTACTACAAAATATGGTAGAGAACAATGTTATAGTTTATAGGTATAATTTATAATTTTAGATGGTGGCCCTCAGATTTCTTGGAGCAAGCGGCCACTTACCTCACATATCTGTAAAATCCACCCATGCTGTTAGCAGCTAGCAATTTTCGAAATATTTTCTTTCATGATCAACAAAAAAAAAGAAACTCAAACTGGTTTTGAAGAAGTAAAGAGTAAGTACATTTTTTATTTTGTGGCTTTGGGTGAACTGTCTTTTTAAGTTTTGCATAGACTGGATATGTGCCTTGCTTTTCATTTCCAGAAGGAGATTCTGTAAAGTTGTGTTGTCATTTAATTTTGTTTAATAGGATTTATAATCACCTTCAACTTCTTTTACATCAGGCAGCAATACGGAAAGGAAAACATCATCCTGTCGGACATTAGGAGGCCTCCCACTGAGGTTTATAACATGGGTATGTTGAGTCTCATATGGATATATACTGTACGCCTCTGACGAATGTATCAGGTGCAACATATATAGAGCCACGTGGATGCCAAAGAGTGGCTGTTAAAGTTTACAGTAAGAGTTTAATCGTTCTGTAGCTCTTATATTTCAACTCTCCAAATAGATTTCAATAACACTGTACAAAAAGTTGTTACTATTAGTAATTACAGTAACCGATATGAAATAAACAAATACAACAATAAAAAACTTTAAAGCACTTAAGCTTTTATTATTATTTTAAAAATGATTTATTATAATATAACATCCTTTGTCATCAAATGAATAAACTACATTTTAAAATATATTAAGAATAGGAAACATACATTTAAATTTTTTGAGTTCATTTATATGTTTAAGGGCAGAAATGAAAATTTATTCACTCTTAGAATATCCAAGATATTATTTTTTGATGAAATTGATGGTAAAAAAAAAAATATATATATATATATATATATATATATATATATATATATATATATATATATATAATCATTATTAAAATAAAAATAATACACATGACTCCTGGCGATACATTGAGATCTAAAGCAAAATACCAGTCTTTGCAAGAAACTGAACATTAATTCAGTGCATTATCAAATTCAAGTGTATAAGAAGGGTCAGAGTCGCATTCATTTATTAACACGACTAAGGTCCTTTGGTGTGTGTCAAACTGGTAACCTGCTGGGGAGGGGCACTGTTAGAGTAGAAGAACAACAAATTAAACAACAAATTAAACAAATTAAATACGTTTATAAAATGGGCAGGTTCTGTTGTAGGGTGTGTGCTACCCACTATAGAAGAGATTGCACATGATCGAATGACGGATGAATTTGTCAGTATGATAATCCACGATAATCATCCCTTCTTTTATACAGTCTAAGCGTGTACAAGCTCTTTAGTGCACGATTAATTCAACCCCAGTGTCACAGAGAAAGATACAGGAAATCCTTCTCACCAACAGTAATCAGATTTTATAACCAAAATCATACTAGATGAATTAGGCTGAATTGTAATAGTTATTAGATATATGGACAAGTGTTGTTGTACGTGTTGTTTGAAAGGTGTGCAGTATCAATGTAATTTTATTATTGTTTTTTACATATGTAACTTATTTGATCTATTTTTAGTATGGAGAGCTCTGCGGTGACATGTGAATTTCCCTTTGGGATTAATAATGTCTAACAAATAAACAAACAAATAAATTTTGAAAATCTGTAAAAGTCAGTCTTCCAGATAAAGCTCACACTCCAGACTTGCGAATGTGCTCAGGATTATCAATAATGTCCATGTTTTGCTTCAAAAGCAAAACAATTTCTCATTAGGAGCCACAGGTATTCATTCTGTTTTGACTGCATATGATTTTTCGACTCTTAAAGTGCTGAGGAACTATAGACTTGCATTTAATGTATTATACCAAAGAAGGGGGGGGGGGTTGAACAAAAAACAACAATTGTTTTTTGTTCAAAATAAAAAAGTAATAAGTTAACTTAATTCCTTCATGTTGTCATTTGTGTGGAACTTTTTTTCAGTGATAGCTTCTGAATAAAATTCTTCTTTAACTTTCAACATCTGATGTGTGATCCTCCTCACAGGTCCGTTTGTATACGCTGATGTGCTGGACTACAAAAACCTGAGGGAGCTGGTAGTGAATAACAGAATCACCTGGTTGGTGCATTATAGCGCATTGCTCAGTGCTATCGGGGAAGCTAACGTGGCTCTCGCCCGCACCATCAACATCACAGGTGGCACAACTCAGTCACACATGCTTTAAGAGTTTATGTTATATGGCTGCCTAATTTACAACATAAGGTTTCATCTATCCCTGACGTCCCACATTCTGCCCGTCTCCTGTTGCCCCTGTGCCCATGCCTCCTCTTCTCCTCCCCACCACCCCCTCTTTCTTTAGGTCTGCATAATGTGTTAGATCTGGCTCTGGAGAACTGCTTGCGGCTGTTTGTACCCAGTACCATCGGAGCGTTCGGCCCTTCATCTCCCCGTGATCCAGCCCCTGACCTCTGTATTCAGAGACCTCGCACCATTTATGGTGTCTCCAAAGTCCACGCAGAGCTGATGGGGGAAGTAAAGATTCATGTTTTTCATGTTTGCTTATTATTTTTTTTATGATTCAAATTATTTATTTTCTTCAATAATTTAACAGTACCATCAGTTTACACATCTTTACATCTTTTAACACCCCCTTTCCCCTCCCCTTTTCAACAGTGGCAGTTACAGTAATTAGATGTTGCTATAATCAATCCAGTAAATATAGATAAATAATATAAACTTAATAAATAAAAAAGCACACATACAAAAAATAATAATAGTAAAAAAACACATAAATAAAAAAACAACGCAATAATAATAATAATACATAAATAAATCAAATAAGATCATTACACTTTTACCATGCGTCTCACCACAGTGACCATATTCATCCTCCAAAAATGCCAAATAATTTCCCCATCTTCTCTGGTAAACCTCCAGTTATCAAGTAATCTATATGTCATTTTTTCATATGCTGCCTCCTTCCCCAATTCTGAAACCCATTCTTGAAATAGTGGTGGACCTGTGAACGCCATCCTTGCATAATGATTTGTCTTCCTCTCATAATACTTATTTGAATCCACTCCAGACCCCAACACGAACGGGTCTCTCAGTACATATATTTTAGGACAAAACAAACAGCAGAATGTAACTGTGCACTTTAACCCAGAAATCCTGTATTTTAGAACAGGACCACATGGACATGCATCAAGTCTCCTTCTTCGCTCTCACATCTCCAGCATTCAGCAGAGTCTTTCAACCCAAGCCTAAAAAAATCCCACTCGGAGTCCAATTAAATGATTTAAAAATGTAAACTGTATTAAGCCTACTCCTAAATTTCTTGGCATTACTTTACAGTTTTGGCAATTTTTTTTCCAATGTTCATCACTAAATGTAGAATTCAGATCTTTACTCCAAACAGTTTTAAGTGTCAAGATTTGTTTTTGATAAATTTCAAATCTACAAAAATTAATAAAGTTATTGACTTATGAACACTTAAGTCCTTTGGGACATTGTGACTCACAAGTGACACAGTGTGCCCCAAAATAGCAACGAAGGATGATGAGTGTTAATAAATATATTCATTCATTCATTTTCTTTTCGGCTTAGTCCCTTTATTATTCAGGGGTCACCACAGCGGAATGAACCGCCAACTTATCCAGCATATATTTTACACAGCGGATGCTCTTCCAGCCGCAACCCAACACTGGGAAACACGCCTGCATTCACACACATACACTACAGTGCTTATCACTGCGCCACCGTGACGCCTGTAAATATATTTTTATAAATAATTATATACAGGATAATCTATGTTGAGCATAAACAGTCAAACTATACAAAAAGACACATGATAATTGTTATTAAAAAGTGTGAATGTCAAAACAAAAAAAACTTGAAATTGCAAAACAATGCAAAACAATAAAAACTAATTTTTATTATTTCATTTATTTTCTATTTTTTATACCAGTACTACTAATAATAATAATTTCTACTATCATTATTGTTTTTATTTTTATCAACAGAGAACTTTGCACATGTGATATTTTTAAATAATGTTACTAAAAAGTCCAAACGGAACTTAATGATATTTGCCTTTAAATGGTCTAACAAATAAAAGTATGGAAACCCAGGACTTACATTATGTGTATTTACGAAATGCCGGCATCCTAACTCTGTTTTGTTCTCACTAGTATCTACACCATAAATATGGCCTGGATTTCCGATGCTTGCGATACCCAGGAGTTGTTTCTGCCCACACGAAGCCAGGAGGAGGCACTACCGGTAATCAGCCGCTGTACATTTTCTTCACTAACAATCACAATATGTATGTACACAAAGACAGACACACAGTCATTCATTCATTGTCCTTCGGCTTAATCCCTTTATTTATCAGGGGTCGCCATACAGCCAACTTATCCAGCATATGTTTTACACAGCGGATGCTCTTCCAGCTGAATCCCAGTACTGGGAAACACACTCATTTACACACACACTCATACACCACAATTTTGTTGTATTCAATTCTCCTATACCACGTGTCTTTGGACTGTAGGGGAGCAGAGCACCCAGAGGAAATCCACACGAACAAGGGGAGAACATGCAAACTCCATACAGAAATGCCAACTGAGCCTCAAATCTTCATGTCTTTGTCATTTACTGATAATAAAGCAACACATCTAATCTAATAGTGCTGTTTTTCCTCAGATTATGCTGTCCAGATCTTTCATGATGCCCTCAGCACTGGCCACCATGAATGCTACCTGCGTCCCAACACTCGGCTCCCCATGATGCACATCTCTGACTGCCACAGGGCCACCATTGAATTCATGCAGGCTCCTGAAAGCTGTCTTTCGCTACGCACGTACAACATCGCAGCCATGAGCTTCACACCTGAAGAAGTGGCTGAAGAGATCCGCAAACACCTGCCCCACCTGAGGGTCACATACAACCCTGATGCCATCCGGCAGAAGATTGGTAAGAACAGCGTGAGAGAGGGAATAACCTTTTAAAGTAGACTGAACTCATTTTGTAACTATTTTATTTTGGATGTTCATGCTTTCATTTTGCTTAGGCAATTATTGCCCAGGCTAATCATTGTTGAAAATTAGGAATAAATAGCATAACTGGGGACACTTTAGGTTAAATATTAAAAATTATATGTAACAAAATCTTATTTATATGTAAAAAATTATTTATTTTCTCCAAGCTAGAGAACAATTTCTGAATTCTCCAATTGTTAAAAATGTGTACAAATTTTAGTTGCAGCTATACCACGAAACAAACCAAGACACTTCGACAAAAGCCTATTATTTTATGGGAAACACAATGATCAGAATTACAGAACAGCAATGACTGTAGAGCAGAGATAGTTTACTACTAAATTTGAGGGTTACACCAATCAAAACTATAGTGTGGAGCAGTGTTTCCCAACTGTTTTCCAGGAGGCACACCAACAGTACATATTTTGGATGTGTCACTTATCTGACCCAATACCTATAGGTTTTGGAGTCTCTTCTTTTATTCTGATGAGTTGATTCAGGTGTGTTTGATAAGAAAGAGTTTGAAACAATGGTGTAGAGGTCGTTCCTTTGTTTGACTGGACATCACTAGTCTCTCACTGGACATCACTAGTCTCTCACTCTGGTCTGCTGTGATCATTAATCTTCTTCCGTCTCTTCTGGTTCACTGACTAGAGGTTTGGTTACTGCAGGGCTTTCAGTCCAAATTCTCTTAAAGTTCAAGGGCCCCCTACACACAGTAATACTGGTAATTTCTTATTAATCAGAAATGAGCTCAAAATCGCAGCACTTATATTTGTAAACATGGTGTAAACGCGGTAAGTCTTTTTTCTGTTTCAAGCTTTCGCATTCACGCAGCTGCTTTTGCTCTAGAGATGTCAAAGTTGAGAACTACAAACCAAAATACTGAAATATAGGAGAAACAAATATAATAAATCATAAATTTTCTGGAATGGACCATTTTTAAAAGATTCAATGGTGCATTTAACAGTCATCTGCATCTTAATTCCTTGAAAGTTTTTACTATTTTCATTTAAAAAAAAACATGAACATTTACATACACTCACTGGCCACTTTATTAGGTACACCTTACTAGTACCAGGTTGGACCCCCTTTTGCCTTCAGAACTGCCTTTATGGCACAGATTCAACAAGGCACTGGAAATATTCCTCAGAGATTTCAGTCCAGATTGACATGATAGCATCACGCAGTTGCTGCAGATTTGTCGGCTGCATATCCATGATGCGAATCTCCCATTCCGCCACATCCCAAAGGTGTTCGTTTGGATTGAGAACTGCTGACTGTAGAGGCCATTTAAGTCCAGTGAACTCATTGTCATGTTCAAGAAACCAGTCTAAGATGATTCACGCTTTATAACATGGTGTGTTATCCTGCTGAAAGTAGACATCTGAGGATGGGTCCACTGTGGTCATAAAGGGATGGACATGGTCAGCAACAATACACAGGTAGGCTTTGGTGGAAAATATCCTATATTAAAATATTGTCCAACTTTGGTAAGCCTGCCCTGCACGAATTGTAGCCTCGTTTCCTGTTCTTGGCAGACAGGAGTGCCGCCTGATGTGGCCCTCTGCTGCTGCAGCCCATATAGTTATTGAGTGGTTATTTGAGTTACTGTTGCCTTTCTATCAGCTGGAACCAGTCTGACCATTCTCCTCTGACCTGTGGCATCAACAAGGCATTTGCATTCACAGAACTACCGCTCACTGGATATTTTCTCTTTTTCAGACCATTCTCTGTAAAACCTAGAGATGGTTGTGTGTAAAAATCCCAGTAGATCAGCAGTTTCTGAAATACTCAGACCAGCTTGTCTGGCACCAACAACCATGCCACATTCAAAGTCGCTCAAATCATCTTTCTTCCCCATTCTGATGCTTGGTTTCAACTGCAGAAGATTTTATTGACCACAGCTACATGTCTAAATGCATTGAGTTGCTGCCATGTGATTGGCTGATTAGAAGTTTGTGATATTGAGCAGTTGTGGTCGGCAATTATATTTATGTATGTATTATGTCATGTTTGCATCAAATTACTAAAAACAAATGACAGATTATGTGAGCCGTTTGAACTGCAGGACAGTATCTTTGATGTTTTCTGGCTACTGTTATTAGTCTTGCAAAATTGTATTATTTTTTTGCTTTTTCTGAATGTCTTGATAACACCATCATGGAGTTTTTCTTTAGCAAACAGAGTAAAATTATTTGTTATACTCTCCCATTCACTGCACTTAAAGTTTACATAACTATGAAGGCTTCCACTACTGAGAAAAAAAAAGGGTATGCCAATACATATCGTAAAGCGTTAAACTTATTGCCCCGTGGGATTCTCTGCATTAATCGGTGCTCTCTTGTATTTGTCTGTTCTGGACAACCAGCCTTGTAGAGACTTGAATGAGCAAGTGATACTTTTTAAGATGCAATATTCTAGAAATCTGCCAGTGAGAGTGAGCTCAAGTGTATCAAATGAAAAGCTTAGGAGAAGCATCTTGAAGGGAGCGGGGCTGTCAGGCACTGGAGAGCATTTGATTGGTCAAGCTTTGATAAGCAAATGAAATATGAGGTGATGTGAAAAGAAAAAAACAATGATCCATTTAGACGGAAGTGATAAACTGCAAGCTTTACATGTTTTTGCCAGTTTTGTATCTCCTAAACGTGAATTTTAACACTGTTTTAGTGCACACCAGCATACAGATGTTCTTAAAACTAACAGACTAAAACTACATCTACACATTTTTATTTTTATTTTATGGGAACTTTAGGGAAATGATAACAAATAGCCAGATTAATACCTATAACAGGGATTGTATGTGGAAGAGTTCTCTAATTTTGATCAGTTTTCTTTTTTAGATTGTTTATGTAATTAAGCATCTCAGAAGTACAACTATACAAATATAAAAGCCTTGATAACTGCAATAATTAACATGCTCATAAAGTGTTGTGTTCATTCTGTAGCAGACAGCTGGCCAGTGCGGTTTGATGATTCTAATGCTCGTCAGGATTGGGGCTGGAAGCCTGCATTCAGTCTGTCAGAGCTGGTCACAGACATGCTGGCCTCCATCCGCGAAAAGAGAACCAATGCTGGACTACCTGTCAGCTAGCAGGTCTTCTCAGGGACTGACTGAAACACAGATCACCAGCATTTGCAAACTCTCCTCGTCTCAAATTTGGGAGTTGATTCTTTGGACCACATTCCGTCAGTCAGAGAGCTGCTAATACAGGCAGTTCTCTTCAAACATATGCTTGTGAAGAAAACATGTAATTCAACAGCGAAAGCTTACATTCTCTCATACTGCTCAGGAGACTCCGTCTATCTTCTCTGTGATCTACTCTTACAGTACATAGTTTTTAAGTTGTTGGGGGGAAAAAGAAACGACAAATGCAAATGGATATGATGACGATGATGAACATGATAGCAATATTAATGCAATGATATTACTCTATGTACTAGACATAGTTAGCAAGGTCAACACTGAAAAACATTCTGGCCCCAGTTTTCGCCTTCAGGACTCTTATGGTTCTGATGTTATAATCAAAATACAACTTTTCTGGAAAGGAATGAATGGCCCAGAGATGCTACATTTGCACAAATGCAGTAAAACCTTTAGATATCTTTCACTCTACAGTGCTCCAGACCATGTATTGTGTGCAAGATGTAAACAGTCCACCTCGATTTGAACACATTCATGGGTAGAAGAAGCTTTAAACCACTACTAGCTTTAGCGTGAATCAAGGAAAAAATCAATATTGCCTTTGTTCCAGCTGCTATCTGTGAGAATTTCACAGTTGCCTGAATTTTGGGTTCTGTTCAGCCCATTATTATCTGTAATGGCTTTATTTATTTAGAGTCAGCTATCGAAGGGCTCTGGATTCACAATGTATAGTGTGGTGGTGTGAACTAAGTACTTAATCTATCAGCGCTGCTGATGTATTATTTATACACTGTGAAGTGAAATGTATTTTTTACATTTCTGTTTACTCAGAAGAGCAACACTACTGGCTTAAACACCAGCAGAGGCCTCACCATTTAAGGGAGTGTTTTTTTTTTATTCAGCCTGTCTGAAAGTCTCCCTTCTATAGAAGGAATTGTGATTTCTGGACAAAAGATATTGTGTTAAACCGCCTTAATGTTCAGTTATCACTCAACCTCACAAGTTGCTAATGATTCTCATTCAGAACTGGAAAGATGCAGTGTATGTCAAATAAACGACTTTAAAGCAGCACACCGTCTATGTCTTTTGTCATTATGGGTTTTAAAATTAATTCAAAAAAGATGGATCTATGAGGCAATGTTTATCACATTTTATTTTTCCAAGAAGTCTCAAATACTTACTGCAATGAATTAAATGTATTGGAAAACAGCCTTAACAAAGAAGACCATATGCTAAAAAAAGTACACCAAAAAGTTGTACAAAAGATATGTAAGTGTTTTGCTTACAAAAATTAATTCAAATGTTCAAACGATCAAATAATATAAGCAATATTATTATTATTCAAATAATTTTCTTAAAAGCTCAAATAATAAAGCAAATTTTCCAAAACTCTAACAGAATTTACAATGCTACTTTAATGCTTACTTTAATTTCCGTATAATGGAAATAGTGTTGGTTTTAAATGAATCTGTAGTGTGAGTTTCTGCTGAGTTCCATTGTTGGCAAGATAAGTACTTTGAATTTGGGGGAAAATGTACATAAGATAAATCCTAAATGAATATGTCCCAAAACTCGTTTTTAAACCACATAAGAAGGCCTACTGGTTTGTTAATAGCATGTATAGTGGAAACCAACTCCTGTAAAGTTAATGGTTTACATTACAATGTTTGCTAGTTCTTCAGCATGAAACTGTAACTAAATAAGTTTTATATTACATTATCATTGAAATATCGTAAAACTAATTTTATAAAAATCTTATTTTAAAATACTGAAATTAAAGACCGTCTCTAGGCACATGACTGCTCATCTTCCGGAAGTGAGGTCAGAGAGCTATCGTGTCGCAGTGGATTGTGGGACATCGTGCCATATTGACACACGACAGAAATGGACGCGGGTTTTTTCCGCGTAAGTGTTATATTCTTTTACTAATTATGCTCTATAAACATCGAGTGTGTTGTTATGCATCTATTGTTTATCAATTGTTTGACCGGCTCGTTTTTTTAAGGATATTTTATATGTGTTCATTGGAGTGTGGCTGTAATGGCGGCTGCGTGAGGTAACCAGAAAATACCACACAGATTAACAGGAACAGCAGATTTGAAGACATAGGCGCGTTTAATTACCTATTATCACAATTGTTGTTACAAATAAACTCAAATGTAACGTTAAAAAAAGTCAGCGGTTCTGGGATTAGCGATGTTACGCATGTGTAATACAGACTGAAACCGAAATTAAGTGGTCCTGTGCTACGACGTTAGCCTAATAATCTGTGTAACGTTAGTCTAGTTTTTGCGTATATACATGATTACTCATATCCCACTGAAAGGGTGAAATATTACTACTCGCATTTCTTTTGCCTCGGCCTTTCAATGGAAGAAAAGTAACCATATGAATTTTTTGTTCCTGTTTTCTCGAAGCACGTTTTGTTTTAATGATGCGTTTCTGTGATTTCAGGGCACCAGTGCGGAGCAGGATAACCGCTTCAGCAACAAACACAAGAAACTCTTGAAGCAGCTGAAGTTTGCAGAATGTCTGGAGAAAAAGGTAGACAAAGTGAAACATAATTATACTTGGATTCACCAACGATGCATTAAGTGACAGTAAAAACATCTATAATGTTACAAAATCGTTGATACATTAGTAACTATTAGTGACGTGTAGTTTAAGAGCCCTGACCAGATGGGATTTAAACTTAACTGTAACGTTAGTTGTTTAGTTTAAAGCCTGGAAAGTATCATATCTAAATGTTCTCTTAACATTACATTAAGAGTGTTCTCAATAAATAACTAAATTGTAAATCTTTTTTTTTTTTTTTTTTTTTTTTTGCAAAGTCTGAAAATTGTTCAAGGTTATTACACAGTGCATATTCCAACCAACAGGTCGTCCTAGGTCTGAAAAGTGGTGTAATTATAAATTGTGTACATTAGGGCTGCACCATATTGGAAAATTCTGATATTGCGATATTTTATTTTTCTGTGATAAATATTGCAATATTAATAGTTTCACCAGGTGGTTTGAATATCTCTATATGATTTCTGGGTATTCAGAAATAATCCCTGTTATAAACAGTATTCAGGTACAGAAATTGACTAATCGCAATGCAAAAAAAAAATCTTTTTTGTTTTGATATTTCATTCTTAGATCAAATAACAATATTAGTCAGCACCAATAGTCTAGTGGATAAGTGTGCCGACATATAACGCCAAGGTGCTCACAGCGATCTGAGTGCGATTTGCTAACCCTTCCCCTCTCTTTGCTCCCAATGCCTTCCTGTTTGCATCCACCACTGTCCTTTCCAATTTAAGGTGGAGAAACCCTTAAAAATACTTATTTAAAGAAGCTATATATTTTTTTTACCTTCAGAAGAAAAAAGCTAAATAATGAAAAATAGGTTTTTCTTAAAAAACAAAAAAACAATTATCTGCCAGTGGAAAAAAATAATCTTGTTTTTGCTTTGAAATGTAGATATTTGTATTAAAAACGAGACAAACAATCTAAGAAAAACTTTTTTGTACATCGTATAAGTTTTATATAAATAGAGTGATTAAATACAATTCTGTAGCTCCTGCCAACTATAATTCAGACTCAACTATGCATATCTTGCAATGTGACTATTGCAGATGCACACATTGCAATATCGAAGCTGAAACTATATATTGTGCAGCCCTAGTGTACATGTAAAAACACATTTTATAGCAGTGAAAATGGGGCTTCTTTTTCTACAAGTAATATTAAGAAGAACTAAAAATTTAGGTATTTATACAAAGTAATTTTGCAAAGCAAATCATCATTTTAGGTTATTTCTGATTTGTAATTTGACAATAAACCATTTTTAGCTCAATACAAGTAAAGATCCTGTAATTATGATTATTTTTTGATGTGGTTTTAGGTGGATATGACCAAGGTCAACCTGGAAGTCATCAAGCCCTGGATCACCCAGCGTGTGACAGAGATACTTGGCTTCGAGGATGATGTGGTCATTGAATTTGTCTTTAACCAGCTGGAGGAAAAGGTAGACCCCCACCTTGCACTTCCCGCTCTTGTTTTATTTTTTTATACACATGCTGCAGTCTATATTAGATGTGTTGTGCTTTGGAAAGAAGAGAAGGTTTGAAGATCAATGAATAACCGCTGACAGTTATTTGAAACATTTGTCATGTGAAGATGTAACAGCAGAAACATCTAACATCACAGTGTTAAACTGTCTGCCTGATTTAAAAAAAGACAGAAAAGGGGGTAAAAAGATATATTTCTCTCTGAAGAAATGATTTGTGACACCGTTCCTTCTGAACAGCAATGTTCTAATGTTGATGTGATTTATGATTTAAAAGGCCTGAACCAATATGGATCTTATTCCTTGCATCTGAAGTATAGCACCAACTCCTAATTAGATCTCAACTGAGCCCAAAGTCTCTCTGAATCCAACTCTCCCTTGATGATGAGCTTTATTTTTTGAGGTGAGTTATGAGCAGGGCTTGACATTGTGCCAGTGGTAGAGTCATTTCAGCTTGATCATTTGTGCCTTTCTGTTTTAGTCAAAGTTTAGCAGTACATCTTAAACATAAAGGCCTGATTTATCACTTTTATGGAAATGAAAACTATTAAGGAATAAAATGAAAAGATGATTTTGCATGTAGGATGATAATGCAGTACAACATTGGAAGTGTAAGAGACTTTTTTTATTTATTTATTTTTTTTACTTGAGTCTCATCTGTCAGTTATTAAAGACTTTGTTTTTTGTATGATTGTGCCTTTAAACAGTACGAAAAAAAGAGACGTGACCCTTTTTTTCTGTTTTAGATAGGCTCTCTGTATTAGTTGCTATTTTAGTCTGTAAAGATTTAATTTTCAGGAAGATTTTGCTGGGATTCCAGAGAGGTATTTGCTCTTATTTATAATACATTAAGGTGTTTCCTTAGTCTCAAACATACTTGTCATGGCATAGCCATATAGTAATTTGAAGAAATTCTTCAAGTTGAGCTTAATCAACAGTGTTTGTGGAATAATATGATATACCTAAGAGAATAATTTAGTCATCTTTACTTTGTTAAAATAAAACATTTAATTACAGTTAGGCGATTATGACTGCCAGGATGAAAAGAATAAAAAGTTTGTTGAATCACTCTAAAATCAAAATCTTGATTAATTAAACATTTTAACTTGCTAACAATTAATTAACAATTTTTTTGTATAGTAAATATGCTCGCATATTAAAATGAAGGGTGCATTACTTGATTTTTTGCGAACTGATTATTTTTGTCAATTGTAATCACGATTATTTAAAATGTTAAAGTCAAAATTATTAGTGCTCCTGTGAATTTTTTAAATAATTATTTCCCAAATTATGTTTAACAGAGCAAGGAATTTTAATAGTATTTCCTCTAATATTTTTTTCTTTTGGAGAAAGTCTTTTTATTTCAGCTAGAATAAAAGCAGGTTTAAATATTTTGAAACTTATTTTAAGGTCAATATTATAAGCCCCTTAAGGCAATGTATATTTTTTATTGTCTGCAGAAGAAACTACTGTTACACAATGACTTTACAATGACCCTAATTAAGCCTTCGAATCCCACTTTGAATCTGAATGCTTGTATTTTGAAAAATTTCTAGTCCAATATCATGTGCTGTCATCATATCAAAAATAAAAGAAATCAGTTATTAGAAATGAGTTATTAAAACTATTATGTTTAGAAATGTGTTAAAAAAAATGTTTCCATTAAACAAAATTTGGGGGAAACGGGTTGCTAATATTCAGGAGGGCTAATAATTCTGACTTCAACTGTATACAGTTATTTTCCTCCCTGCAAAGGTAAGAGAAATAAATACAATAAAATAACACTTAAGCTACAAAAGTCCTTCATTCAAGAGCAGTAAGGGATTTTCACCTTTTTTTTATTTGATTAATACTGATCGAAACAGGCGGCAGCAGGAATAGTGCGCTGTCACTTTAAAGGTTTCGCTTTTACGTTTCTTTTGATTCTCAACTCGTTTGTTTATTACACAAATGAGGGTTAATATGAATAATCACTAAACACCGCGTATGGACGCCTATTTGAACATTAAAACGCTCACATTAATGACTTTAGATGTGCGCTCTGCTCGTCACTGTGTGCGAATGAGACCGAATGCTGACCGCATGCTTCTGACTGTGTGTGCTCGCTGCACACACACAAACAGGAGCATGCGGTTTAGTTCATGCTTTTAAGAGCAACAAATGTTTACAACCGGAAAGGGGCGGTAAATAATGGAATAATCGTTTATCTCGATTAATGGTTTTTCATAATCGTTGGAAGCCAAAATCGGATTTTCGATTAATTGCACAGCCCTACTGGATAATATTGTAGTATTTTATTAAAGAGCCTGCACCATAATTATATAAGATTTTCAAAATGTTTTTATGCAAGCGCACACAGAGGTAACTGATATATATCTCACTCTTCCTCGCATGGTTTCATTGTGCCAATATAAATTCATTGCTGTAGAATGCAAGCAAGTCAATACTTATAAGTCTTTGGCATCTAAAAAAAGAAGTAAATGTTTCAATTATTCCACAGATCCTGCTGAGAGAGCTTGACCTGTATAAAGTCAGACACATTTGTATAGGCCTTATTTTAGAACAGCAGGTGCTCAGTCCTGCTCTTGAAGATCTACTTCATTGGAAACTTCTGCTCCAGCTCTTCTTAAAACCGAACTCTGGTGCACATCTTCAGGAGCACGATTTAGCACGTGTGTCTTAGTTAACGGGTCTAATAGGATTGATTTTCCTCTTCATTTTGTTGTTAATAAAGCCTTTTCTATGCCTTGTGTACTCATTATTGCTTGTTCGTCTCTTGCAATTTAGATAAATGATATAGCATTAAACTCAAGGTGATTGAGTGTGATGCGGTAGTGAGGCGGAGGCCAGCCAATGGAGCGCCTTTCTCCGCCCCCCCAGCCCACAGAGCCTGCGCCACTCACACTGAAGACAACTGGACTGTTCTTGCTTTGTGGGGTTTTGATGCACTCTGTTTGTGGACTGTAATGTTTCTATCTCTCAGGAGTTTGATATTGCACAGGATGAGACAGCCATAGTGGTTGGGAGGGTCTTATTGCTCCTTGACGGGGGGATGTGAACTGGGAGGGTTCATCTCAGTTCAGATGATACCTTGTAAACTTGTAATGCATGCTCAGAGGGAGTTTATACACTTTAGAAGTGTCCTTGATTTTAACTTTTTTCATTCAATTGGTTTAAAAGTAAAAAAGAAAATAAAATAAATGCATAACATTCTGTTGTGGCTGTTGGTTATAGAAACCATTTTGAGGCCCGCAGGTACTGGGCTCTTGTTGAAAAGCAGCTGTTTACTGATGTTCAGGAAAGGAAGGTCTAGGTAGACTATCAGAATTCTGTGCTCTTGTTCGGTGTCAGTATTAACTGCTTGGTTTTCTCCCCTTCTCTCTTCCTCCCCTGCTGTTTGTGTTGCAGAATCCAGATGGAAAGATGATGCAGATTAATTTGACAGGTTTTCTGAATGGAAAGAATGCTCGGGAGTTCATGAAAGACCTCTGGCCACTGTTGTTAAGCGCCCAGGAGAACATTGCCGGTATCCCATCAGCCTTCCTGGAGCAGAAGAAAGAGGAGATCAAACAGAGACAGGTGATAAAGAACTGGGTCTGATCTCATATGCACATTTTTATTGGTTTTGTGTTAACTGATGTTGTAATGATACTAAAATTCAACTTTTCCTTCTGCTTGTTTCAGATTGAACAGGAGAAACTCGCCTCTCTAAAAAAAGTAGATGAAGATAAAAGGGAGAAGGAGAACAAAGAAAGAGCTCAGTCAAAAAGCCCTAAACGGTTGGTTTTGCTCTAGATCCTTATTCATTGATTTTTCCATTATTTTTCTATTGTTTTTGTGGTGTCAGAATTTGAATTCATAAAATAAATATATATTCTAAAAAAAATGGCGACTAACAAATTGTCACAATTGTCTGTAAATGATATAAAATGTTGCATAACAATCAACTTTGTTCTAAACCGCTGTTTTTTTTCTGCTTCCCTTTTAATTGCAGGAGAAAGTCTCGCTCCCCTGTGAAGCGTGATCGTAAATCCAGTCCTTCTCGTTCTCGCTCTCCTCGACGAAAAATAAGCCCAGCCGCTTCACCACCTTCCAGTCCACCCAATCATAAAGAAGAACCGAAGCGAGAACCAGACCAGTCAGAGAGCTCTAAACCAGAGCCACTCATTCAGGAAGCTTCATCTACCAGGTGACTTTGGAAATCTGACATATTCTAGATTTTACTGCTTCAAGTTACCATTGTCCTCTTAAATGCTTAAGAAAACAGATTCAGATTCATATGCAAGTTTCACTTTCAATCTAAAAGAATGACCTAAAAATTGCAGAATTTTGGTAGCATTGTGGATTTCCAGACTGATATAATAAACTGTCATGTTCATCTGTTAGTGATCTTGTGACTGAGATGAAGCCGGACTCAGTGTCAGAGCCTGTGAAAGAGTCCTCTCCAGACAAAACGTCAAAATCAGAGGACCGGCCTAAACCCAGGGACAGGGAGAAGGATGGGCGCAAAGATCGTCCACGCCACCGCTCTCGTTCTCGATCACCTCGCTCACGCAGACGACCTCGATCCCGCTCTAGGTGAGAAATGTTATGTGAAGTCGCATTATTTCTTTTCTTAGATTTTATTTTTGTTTACATGCTAAAGTGATTTATGGGTTAAATAATATCTCTACTTGTAGGTCATTCTCTCCTCGCCGGAGAACAAGTCCCAGGAGGCGAATCTCTCCGAGACGGAGGAGTCCTCCTAGACGCCAGCCTCCCTCTAGACATAGACGTAGCCGCTCACCTGTTCGCAGGTAAGTCTCCCTCTCTCACTTTTTTTTTCAGCAATATTTTATTCAGCAAGGATCCATTTATCAAATAGTAATAGTGAAGACCATTAAAAAAACTTGATTCAAATAAATGCTGTTCTTCTGAATTTTTCATTTGAAAAAAGAGTCCAGAAAAAAAACAAGCAACACGGATGATTTATAATGAAATGCAGTATTTCTTCATAGCCAAATAATCATATTAAAATTATTTCTATTGAAACCTGAGATACTGAAGACTAATAAAATATGACTGACTAGGGCCAGACAGAATCTGCAAACATTTTTGCTTAGAATTTAGTAAAAACAAAAATCGAAGTATTTTTGAGGAATGATTTTAGGAGTATCGTAACTAAAAACTTAATATATGAAATAAAAAAATACTTTTTATTTAATGCTTACCTTGCAAATCCAATTAGATCCAATTATTTGGTAAACAAAGCAAGTCTCTTGTATATCTCTACTAAAAGACAGAAAATATTAATTTACAAACTATATTGTCAATAAATCATATGAACGTTTTAATATTACTGTTATTATATTTCAATAATTAGTGAAATTATTTAAAAACTTTCACAAGTAAATAAATGGACATGATGGACTGAAAATCTGTTAAAAAAAATGCTAAATTGGCTAATGTTAAAAAAGAAGCTCAAATTATTTACTGAATTTTGTAACAATTTGTATTTTTAATCATATATATAAATTTTTTTATTTATTTTTTATTTTTTTGTCATCTGCATCTCAACTACCGAATTTCACCTATATTTTATTGGTCCACCAGGCGGCGGTCTCGCTCCCGCTCCTCCTCAGGCAGCTCCTCCTCTCGGTCGCCCCACAAGAGAGCAGGAAAACGAGGGTCAGCGACCCCACCCAGAAAACTTGCACGTCGCACGGACCTCTCCAGCCCCCCAAGAAGACGAGGCCGCAGTCCTTCAGGACCAGACACCAGCCCTTCAGGTACATCATAGAATGCAATTCTTTTTATTTAAAATGGCTTAAATGAAAATAAATGACCAGTGGTTATAGATTGTGTACATTGTTGTGTAAATCTGAAGCGTTCATTGTCATGTTGAGTATAGTATATTTTTGGCAGTAAAGTGATTCTGACTGTAATGCATCTTAAAATTTCAGCTGGGAAGCACAGGCCTGGTGGAAGAAATGACTCTCGCTCTCCCTCTCCAAAACCCAGGCGATCTGATGCATCAGATTCAGGTGAGGCTTGGCTCTTCAAGCTTGCAGATTGAAATGAATATCATTATAGAAGCTGGCAGGTTGTCAAAAAGTCTTTCTGGCTTTTATACTAGAAAAACTGTTACGTATGGAAAACTTATTGTATAGCAACTCTTGTGGTACAAGTTTCTTATGGCGGCTTCAAAGATTAAGAAGGTGGTGCATGTAACAGGTGTTTGGCTGTGCTTTTGTATATCATTGGTGTGTGTTTTTGGGCATGAGGCTGTTTCTTGGGCACTGAAGGACTTTGCTTTGCGTTTCAGAGGAGGATAAGTTGGGCAAAGGGTCAACAGCAGATTCTGTCCAGCAGCGACGTCAGTATCGCAGACAGAATCAGCAATCCTCTTCAGGTTACCACCTTTTAAAATTTACTTCACACTTATTTGTCCTCTTTCCTTCTCTCTCTGTCTCTCTCTATCCTCCTTCTCAGACCTGTACGTGCACCTAGGAGTTGTGTGGATATTATATGCTAGTACTTGTTTCATTTTGTTGTCGTGTTGGGTTTATTTTTACTTACAGACACAGGTTCATCCTCTTCATCTGAAGATGAAGGTCCAAGGAGGCAGAATAGAGGTGCAGGTGCCAGGAATGGAGAAATCAGGAGGAGACGGAGTCATTCACCTGCCTCACCACGGAGGCGGCACAGAGATGCATCCCCAAGGTAAAAGTCAACAATGTTTGCATGTGCTTTACATCTGTGTTTGACATACAATACCCCTAAAAGGTCAATCTACTCGGTCAATCGACTTTTTACCCCTTTTGGGTAAAACAAAAAAACAAAAACCTTTATTAGTCCCAATGTATGTCCATCCAAATTGAATGTGGCACTAAAAAGGCTGTGTAGAGAAAAGCATTATTAATAATGAGAAACTTTAACCTCTACCGCTTATGTTATAAGCTATTAAACGTGAAGTATGTAGATTATCAACATTCAAGTTTTTAGTGGATCGATAATGCAATGCAGCCAGTGAAGTTGTGACATTTTACATTTACTTTTCCTCATTCCAAAGCCTCCCAAAACTTGCTAATCTTTTAAACAAATGGAGTTTATTCTAAAAAAAAAAGTAGATGTCCTTGTACCCTGGTATGAAAATCTTGTCTTATCCTTCAGAAAAAGACGTTCTCCGTCACCTCCTGGACGTAGACATCGTTCACAATCTCCTGTTCGCCGCCGCAGGTCACCCTCTCCTCCCCCAAGACGCAGGTAAGGTTCAGCTGAGTTCTTGAGCTCTTCTGGATTTGGTTTGAAATGCATCTTGCTTTGACTCTTCTTTCTTCTCTCCTTCCGGTCTCAGGTCTCCATCTCCACCTCCCCGGCGATTTACTCCCCCAATTCAGCGTCGATACAGTCCCCCCTCCCCTTCTCCAGCCCAAAAGAGACGGTCATCAGGGTCTCCCCCCAAACGAAGAAGGTCTCCTTCACCCATGCCCAAGCGTAGAATACCTCCTTCACCTCCCCCCAAACGCAGAATGTCTCCATCACCTCCCCCCAAACGCAGAAAGTCTCCATCACCGATGTCAAAACGCAGAACATCTCCATCGGTGTCAAAACGTAGAACATCGCCTTCCCCTGTGGCTAAACACAGAAGGTCTCCATCACCCATGTCTAAACGTAGAACATGTGCTTCACCTGTGTCTAAACGCAGAAATTCTCCCTCACCTGCCCCGCAACGTAGAAGTTCTCCTTCTCCCATGCCCAAGCATAGAGGGTCACCTTCCCCTGTGACTAAACGTCACACCTCTCGATCCCCCAAAAGGAGTCGTGGCACCAGTCCAGGAAAAAGACGTACTCCACCCTCTTCTGCTTCACCTCCTCCTCGTCACCGCCGAAACTCTCCAAATCCCCCTGCAGCCCAACGGGGCAGAGACACCCGGTCCTCTCCCCCTGCCCACACTACCCGAGTGTCTTCCAGTCCTCCAGGTAGATATGGAGCCTCTGGTTCCTCCCCGCAGAGACAAAGACGGCAGACATCCCCATCACACAGCACCAGACCCATTCGCAGGGTTTCCCGCACTCCAGAACCGCGCAAATCGCAGAGGTATGTTTTTATAGAGCGGTGCTTTTATTTGTGTAATGCAGATATGCGAATGTTTGATTGTTGCTGTCCATTTGTAGAGGTTCTCAGAGTCCTCCGCCAGAAAGGAGGCAGGTTTCACGTTCACCATCTGCTTCTCCTCCTCCGGCTCAGAAGCGGCCTGCTTCAGTCTCACCCTCTCGCTCCACTAGCCGTTCTCCACCTCCACCAGCCAAAAAGAACAGCAGTGTCTCCCCGAGCCCTTCACCTAACAAGGTATGCCACTCTTGCAATCAGCGAGAACCACACCTCTGCATCCTAAAAGCTTTGATTTGTTTTTTGGCTTCTAGAGTTTTTAGCCTTTTTGTTTTAGAAATATAAAATTATTAAAACATCTGGTTTAGGGTCTACCTTATGCAAAATAGGGTGTGTTTACACTTGGAAAGTTTGATTAAAGTTAATGCTGTTTATTGAGGTGATTGCTCCTATCTGAACTTGATGCCCACCAAAAAAGAGGTTCAGGGACAGTTTTCATGCACACCTGATTTTTGTTCTCATAGTCACTGTGTTCTTAATTGTATAGTTAAAAATGTAATTGTTCAATATATGCAATGGATTTGTAACAGATTTTTAATTGTGTGTGTAAAGGAGAAATTCTACTTGTGCACTATTTGTAAGTTCTTACCCTTTCCAACTGATTAAAAAAGTTCTCTCAAATGCACCCACATACAGTGTGAGCAAGAGTGAATAAAAGGCAACTTATATAGTAAATTATATGTATACTAAATGCGTTTCTTATTTGGTCAAGACCAAAAGAACTGAACAACCAGTGTGAACACCCTTAATGCAAAAAAGTGTATATTACAGTTGCTAAACATCTTTGTTTGTTCTGTAGAACTCTGATGCAGAAGGTGGTAAGAAGAAGAAAAAGAAGAAAGAAAAGAAACACAAGAAAGATAAGAAACACAAGAAGCATAAGAAACAGAAAAAGGAGAAGGGTGGAGAAGAAAAGAGTGGTGGGGCAACAGGAGGACATGGACCGGAAGCAGAGCCAGACTCTGACCAGAAAAAGGTGAAGTTACACTTTTAAAGCTGTTTAAAAGCAAATTCTCCAGTGTAATGCAAACATCTCTTCATTTCACCACACTGCGATTTTAAAATGTTTGGAGTCAGAAAGGAGTGGTAAATGGTTGTTAAAAACGTCTCTAATGCTTACAAATCCTGCAGTTATTAAAAAAAAATAGAAATATTCAAATTTAGCATGACACTTATCAACATATTTTAAGATGTATTTGACTTCTGTGATTGCAAAGCAGAATTTGCAGTCATTATTCTAGTCTTCATATTACAAAATCCTTCTGGAAAAAAATGTTGATTTGTTGCTGAATATATATATATATATATATATATATATATATATATATATATATATATAAATATATATATATATAAATATATATATATAAATATATATATATATTCATTCATATATTCATCCCTTCTATGATTCTATTTCTATTAGGGCTGGGCGATAAATAGATTTTATTGGGTAACTCGAGTGTGAAGTAAGTTCACATTGATTTGTTTGAATGAAAATCGTTTTTTTTACCCTAACACATGATGCTTCCCTCTGGGCTCCTGTAGTTTCCCCCGCATTGCCATAGAAACACACAAACAACATGCAGCAAGCAGAAGAAAACTCGGAGAAATGATGCGATCTTTGAAATGAAACAAAACAGCACAGGTGCACAAACACGCCTGGCAAAAAAAACGCATTTAACCGTGAGACACAGAAGTTGGTAACTGTGTGCCACACATTGTATTCTCACGATAAAAAGTAGCATTAATGGATAAAACGATTAAAAGAGAAGATGCGCATATGAAACGAATTGTTACCTATAGATATATACAATGTAAATATCTATGACTGTTACCCATCTAATGTTGGAATCCAACGTTGCTGTTTTCGGATAAATGATGTGACCCAGCTGTAAAGATGTTCATTACTGTAAATATCAACACTGTCAGACTCGCTCAGTGCACTAGGCTAGAGTAATCTTTCAGGTGCCAGCCATTTGAGTACACTGAACTCATTGTCATGTTCAAGAAAGCAGTCTGAGATGGTTTGTGCTTTGACATGGCGTGTTATCCTGCTGGAAGTAGCCATACAAAGATGGGTACACTGTGGTCATAAAGGAATGTACATGGTTAGCAACAATACTCAGGTAGGCTGTGGCGTTAACACCATGCTCAATTGGTACCAATGGGCATAAAGTGTGCCTAGAAATTATCCCCCGCACCATTATACCACGACCACGAGCCTGATCCATTGATACAAGGCAAGATAAATCTATGGTTTCATGTTGTTGACACCAATGTCTGACACTATCATCTGACTATTGCAGCAGAAATCAAGACTCTTCAGACCAGGCAACATTTCTCTAATCTTTTATTGTCCAATTTTGGTGAGACTCTGCGAATTGTAGCCTCAGTTTCCTGTTCTTAGCTGACAGGACACCCGGTGTGGTCTTCTGCTGCTGTAGCCCATCTGCCTCAAGGTTCGATGTGTTCAGAGATGCTCTTCTGCATACATCGGTTGTACCGAGTGGTTATTTGAGTTACTGTTGCCTTTCAGCTGGAACCAGTCTGGCCATTCTCCTCTGACCTGTGGCATCAACAATTCATTTGCGCTCACAGAACTGCCGCTCAGTGGAACCATAGAGGTGGTTGTGTGTGAAAATCCCAGTAGATCAGCAGTTTCTGAAATACTCAGACCAGCTCATCTGGCACCAACAACCATGGCATTTTCAAAGGCACTTAAATCTTCTTTCTTCCCCATTCTGATGCACAGTTTTAACTGCAGCAGATTGTCTTGACCATGTCAACATGCCTAAATGCATTGAGTTGCTGCCTTGTCATTGGCTGATTAGAAATTTGCAATGAGTATTTGGATGTGTACCTAATAAAGTGGCTGGGGAGTGTATGTTAGTACTTGATGCATTTTTTTATGGGGGGAAAAAATTATTTAAATCGTAAATTTGAGTTTTTGTGAAAAATCTGGGATTTTTTAAAATGGCCATATCACCCAGCCCTAATTTACGAGTTAGGTATTGTCTCTAATGTAAAATCTAAATATACTACTTATGTTTGAGTCAGACATAATTAATGCTACCTTTCTTGAAGGAATCAGAGAGTGAAGTAGAAGACAGTTTGGATGATCTGGAGAAGCACCTACGTGAGAAAGCTCTCCGCTCAATGAGGAAGGCCCAGATGTCTCCATCGTCTCAGTCCTGAGGGCATCTCTCCTGCACCCCACATTTCCCTTTTTCTCTTCCACTCTCTGCATTTTAAATGTTTGATGTTGGTTCAGCTTTAGAATGTACAAATTGTTAAAATTCACCCTAGACTTTTTTTTTCATTTGTTTTGGAATTGTTTTTTTATTTTTATTTTGGCATGTTTATTGCTGAAGTGTTTTATGATATAGAAATGAGTGAGCAGCTGAAGTTTCTCCATCAGATTTTGACCCTTACCACTTAAATACTGTCAAGAAGAAATGTTCCAAACAAAACTTTTTTTAGTCCCCACACCCCTCACCTCCTGTGTTGCTTTTACAGTCATGATGAAAAAAAAATGAAAAGCTTATTTGCCGTTCTGAGTTAATAATGTACGAGTTAGCCTATAGATTCTCTCTTAACCTTCGCGGGACTTTTTACGAGAGTTTTGTTTGCATGGACGGCAGACCCCAGCGTGTTTGTCCTCTTGTGTGCATGATCCATAAAGTAAAACTGCTCTCTCTGTTCATCTGAGCATTGTGGCAGTGCTTGAGAGCTCCACTGTACACATGAGAACAAATCCGAAGTCTGTTTTCATCTCTCTCTTTTTTTTTTGTTGCTTATTTTTTGTAACCTAAGTTGTGTTTGACATTGTTGGACCCTGCAGAAATGTCTGACTTTGAAGAAAGTCACATTAAATTGAAAGAAAAATGTCTCAAATTCCTTTTTTAAGTTGCATTATTGTGCATATCTGCAGTTTGTTTTGTTTCACTTTCAATGATCATGAATGTAAATGACAGACTCGTCCAGCATGCTAACAATGTGGACAGCATTACATTTAGGATGCAAAAAAACTGTTTTGCATATGTTTGCTAGTCCCTTTTTACTGGGTTCTTTGGAAAGCCTGTAGTGTCCCAGGTCTGGTAATGACACATGATAATCAAGTGCTGTTCATGTTGTTGTTTTTTCCCTTTTAGCACCATGTGAAATCTTCACTAGCCACAGATGAAAGCTCAGTGAGTTTGTAAAGGTGTAATGCGGTTAATAATGGCTGATCTGGAAAATCAGCCTAAGGCAGCAATGTTTTGCCTTGGTTGTTATTTTATAATGCCACCTGCTTCTGGCTGCAGGCATCTGTGGGAATACATGGGTGGTAAACATGCAGTCTGTCTTTATACTGTCCCTAGAGGTCAGGCTAAGTGCCGGAAAGCTTTGTTTCTGGATCAGCTGTGCATTGTGCTGGATGATCTTTGGTAATAACAAAGACTATCTTTAAGGAGTTCACCCTTTACATTCGTTGTATGTGATACAAGACATCAAAATATATTTTATGTGGAGTGTTTTGGGCTGAACTAATACTGGAACACTTGATTCTTCCCCCGATTGTGGTGTTTTTGCATAAAAATGTAAACAACCAAATTATCTTTTGTTTGAGCAATGTAGTTTTGGTTTCATCGGGTAGGATGATAATTTCTAAAAGAAAATAATTTGGCTTTTGTATTCTGCTTTTATAACCACTGTATAGTTGGTTTTAATTACAGTAAGTTTATTTAAATGGTAAGTAATCATGTCTAAATATATTTATATTTTGACCTTAAAGCAACACAGAGCAATACAAGCAGCAGCAACAACAGCAGCAGCAGTAGCAACAACAACTATATACACAGAAAAGGAAAACAAAGACAAAAAACAAAAAAAAAAGAATATGATTTTAAAACCATTGTTACATCAGTTCCTCCAGTTTTATACAGTGTATCGGAAAACGTATTCATAGCGTTGTACTTTTTCCACAATTTTTTTATTACAGCCTTATTCCTAAGTGGATTAAATTCATTAATTTCCTCAAATTCTGAAGACATTACCCCATAATCACAATGTGAAAAAAAAGATTATTTTTAATTGTTCCAAATTTATATATAAAAAAACTGAAAAATCATGTGCATAATAATTCACAGCCTTTGCTCAATACTTTGTTGATGCAACTTTGGCAGTGATTACAGCCTCAAGTGTTTTTGAATGATGCCACAAGCTTGGCACTCCTGTCTTTGGGAATTTTTGCCCTTTCCTTTTTGCAGTACCTCTTAAGCCTTATCAGGTTGGATGGGAAGTGACTCTCAAGAGATGTTAATGGGAATTAGGTCTGGGCTCTGGCTAGGCCACTCAAGGACATTCACAGAGTTGTTCTGAAACCACTCTTGGTATTTTGGCGGTGTGCTTTGGGTCATTGTCCCGCTGGAAGATGAACCGTCACCCCAGTCTGAGATTAAGAGCACTCTGAAGCAAGTTTTTATTCAGGATGTCTCTGTACTTTGCTGCATTCATCTTTCCCTCTATTCTGAATAGTCTTCCAGTTCCTGCTGCTGAAAAACATCCCCACAGCATAATGCTGCCACTGTAGGGAACGTATTAGCCTGGTGATGAGCAGTGCCTCGTTTTCTCCAAATGTAAAGCTTACCATTCACTCCAAAGAGTTAAATTCTAGTCTCATCAGACCAGAGAATTTGGTTTCTAAAGCAGGTCGCACACCAGAAGCGCCGCTCGGCGCCGCGACACGGCGCGTACATGACAGTTTAAAGTATCACACACCAGACGCGCACATTCGAATGATATTTAACATGAAACTAATCAGATGGCGCTCTGTGGCACGGCTGAAAAATGAACTGCGTCCTGAGCCGTCGCCGGGCGCCGCTGACTTGCGGCGCCGGTGTGTGTATCCTGATAGAAACCTATGTTTAGAATTCTAAAATACATGGCGCTGCGTGGCGCTGCGCGGCGGCGCTTCTGGTGTGCGACCTGCTTTATGGTCTGAGAATCGTTCAGATGCCTTTGGCAAGTTCCAGGTAGGGAGTGGCTTCCGTCTGGCCACTCTACCATACAGGTCGATTGGTCGATTGCTGCAAAGATGGTTGTCCCTCTGTATGTTCACCTCTCTATAGAAGAAAACTGGAGCCCAGACAGAGTGACTCGGGTTATTGATCACCTCCCTGACTAAGGCCCGGACTTCTACCCTGATCACTCAGCTTAGATGGTTGGCCAGCTATAGGAAGAGTCCTGGTGGTTCCAAACATCTTCCACTTACAGATGATGGAGGCCACTGTGCTCATTGGAACTTTCAGAGCAGCAGAAATTTTCCTGTAACCTTCCCTAGCCGTGTGCCTTGAGACAATCCGGTCTCAGGGGCCTACAGGCAATTCCTTTGTCTTCATGCTTGGTTCGTGCTTTGACATGCTCTGTCAACCCTGGGACTTTACATAGGCAGGTGTATGCCTTTTCAAATCATGTCCAATTAACTGAATTTACCACAGGTGAGCTCAAATTAAGCTGCTGAAACATTTCGAATTAAGGCTGTAACATAAAAAAAATGTGGAAAAAGTGAAGCGCTATGAATGCTTTCTGGATACACTGTAGGTTAACTATGTTATGTATTTTACTAGGCCAGTGGGCACAGACAATATGGTGATCTTGCAAACAGCGACATGGTCATAGCTTTAATCTCTTATCCTTGACATTTAATAAATAATTATTTATTTACTCTTAAATTGAAAATTTAACATGGTCTCTTTCAACACCCCACAAGTGTGGCTTTGTATCTTTAGGGTTCATATGTGCAAAGAATCGTCTTTAAAAACAAATTACTTAGATCTCCTGAAATGCCTAAAAGTTAGATTTATTGTTATTTTGTTCTGTATCTCTCAATCACGAGCGGACTGGGACAAAAATTCAGCCCTGGCACTGTAGCCACACAAATTACCACACCGACACAAATTATCACACCGACACAGCCCCACCCACGGACACGCACATTCGCTATTTATTTTGGTGTACAGATGGTGAAATGATATGACATTCTTGCCAGATTTTGATTAACCTCGGATTGAGTCGGCCCATCTTGATAGGTGGCAATTGCCGATTGACTCAAATGCTTAACATTTTTTATTAGTATTTTTTCATTATCATCATCATAATATCACATCTAGCAAGAGATAAAAGCTGTCTGCACTTAAAAACAATACTTATATATAAAAAAAAAAAAAAACTGACCGGCCCACATTTAAGAATTGGTCCGGCCCTTCTGGCATTTGCCAGAATTGCCAGATGGCCAGTCCGCCCCTGCTCTCAATTTCAACATTGTGTATGTATATGTATGTAGGTCTATATATATATATATATATATATATATATATATATATATATATATATATATATATATATATATATATATATATATATATATATATATATATATATATATATAATTGCAAATTATTGACGCAAATTTTTTTGTGAAAACTTAAAATTTTAATTAAAAAGTAAAACATTGATATATGTTTACCAAAAATTGCATGCGTTAAACTTGGGAGAGAAAGCTGGGAGATAAGATCATTATATCAAGATAAATATTATTTGAGAAATTCTGTTATGGAAACAATTAATGTTCATTGGATAAATGTACAGAAAATTTTGTGAATCCACCAACCAGGTTTCCCCAGCCCTATAGCAGCCTGTTACTATTGACTTAATTTATTTTAATTAACTAAAACATTTCAAAATAAATTGACTTAACTAAAAACAGATTTTTTGTGTCTTCATGGTAACGTCAGCTTTACAAAGTACGAGACTTGCAGTGCAAGTAAAAAGGGCTTTTAAATACAGATTTAGCTATATAAAACTCCTCGGGGAGCTCTGGTTCCAGTGCACGCGCACGGTACCGATTCTTCTTGCGCCAGATGAGTTCGGCCCACTGCGTGTGACATCACCGCCTTAAATACTCCCGTAGATTTTTCCCCTCTACGTCGTCGCCATCCTGAGCGAGAAGCAGAGGAGGAGACATAGCGGACTCCGTCGGGTTTTCTCAGTGATGTGTTTCTAGGCAGCGGCAGGACCTCGTGGAAACGCGCCTTCTTCGTTTTGACGAACTCGGTTGCACTTGGAAAAACCGCAGAGTGTTTTTTGTGTGTCCGAAAAACTCGGCTCGAGAAAGAGGGAGGCGTGAAAGCAAAACTTTTTGTGCCAAGCTGAAGAAATCGAGGTTTGTTGTTGTGAAGGCGCCCGTGTAAAAACAAAAGTTCGGGATGTCTCTCTCGGTACCTCAGAACGGTTTGAAGGGGGATAACGAGCCCGTCATCGAGCTTTTTGTGAAGGTAAGCTTCTAATTAATAAACTGTAATCATATAAGTAACGATTATAGGATAGTGCTTGCAGAAATGAACGTTTTGCCATCACATAGTCACCAAAATAGTTTTCGTTTGTAAACACCATCGAGATTTTAGTGAACGTGAGCTTCGGTCACCTTATGCTTTCAATATACAGGGACAAAAAAAGAAACTAGGAAAGTGAATGGTGACCAATAACGTTACTGTCAGTGCCAAACGTTCAGCCCACACCTCCCAAACTAACGTTACAGGCTTCTGTTGTCATTTGAATCACAATTCTGGTTTTTGTCGATAAATAAAATATTCACAGATATAGGTAGCATCAACAACTTGATCTTTAATATGTCCAAAACAAAGGTCTGAAATGTGATTCAGCGGTTTTGCTTTACAGTAGGGGTGTATGATGACATTGAATGTCAAATGGGCGTTTTCTCAATATCCCATATTTTCATCTTTTCTCCACTCACTGTTGTATAATGTTATTCGGATGATTGTGTGACACAAAGTAAAAGCATAATAATTTACTCCCTCAGCTGAAAGCACAAAGCACGCGGGTTTGCATGGGAA